ATTTCAGATATTCAATTCAGGGGCTTTACTGTGCTCTTGGTGTTGAATGTATTTATTCTAAAATGTCTTGACCCCACTTACATAGGATTAGTTTATTTGTGAATATATCCGGTACAAGAAACATTGTTTGAACCCATCTTCGATTTTTTTTAGCTAACATTGTTCGCCTTTCCCTTTGGGATTATGTCAACCATCATTTCATGGTTCCAACCCTACTCCTGTCATAAAATCCCCGAAAACTCTGCATTCATTCACAACGCTTCTGGTTTCAAAGTAATGTTATCTGGGTGATTATATTCTCCTTACATTTTCTTAGTGCTGATCAGACCGAGACCAGCCATGTGAGCGTGACAAGCTCTTCTTTGTCGAGTATCTCATTCTTGTGTAATTAAGGCCCCTTCATATTTCAGAAAGCGGCTTTATTATTTGGCGTCCATCTTGGTCCAAAGCAAGCAACCCAGGTGAAGAGAGGGTTACACCTGGTGGGCTTCTGCGAAGTATATTTAATCTTTTACAAGTTTTCACTTTTGGCGATGAAATAAATTTTAACAAATTCCACGCAGCCAAAAATGTGTGAATCCTTTTCAGAAAATGGCAGTGGAAGTTTTTCTAGTTGTTTGAGATCTTCCAAATGCTTCTGGTCTGTTTGGATTACAGTGAGACCCCAAGATGCGGAAATAATTGGTGAATCAAGATTGTCCCTAAGTTGAGTTGTGTTTTCCCATAGACTTACTACATTATATAATTTTCAATTGGTGTTTTATGGAAGAAATATTCTTCCAAATTCCCTGAAAAAATTGCTTGCCACTTGAATTTGGATTATTGTTAATACATTTTCAACTCAATAAGAACATTTGGAGCATTGAATAGTGTATCTCTGTATTGTACATTGAAATGTTAGCATGTACCAAAATACATTTTTAAATGAAAACATTTAGAAGTCCCTCTATGCTGGAGGTAATTTTTACCACGTTTTTATGAACTCACTTTCTTGTCTGTCTGTTTGTCCGGATCAAATTTTGAAACTCAAATTTCACTCACTTCCTGACTAGCTATCAAGCTAAAACTTTCAGGATAGCCTAGTAACTGATGACAATGCAATCTTATGTGAAAAAATTAATTTTAAGAATATTTTTTAAAAAGAATAAAATAATTATAGTAGATTTCTATAATAAAACTTTGAGCAGGTTTTCCTTGGCCCCAAGAAAAAAACCCATGGTGAACTGAATTGGTTGCAGAGGTCCGAGTTCAATCCCACCCCCTGGAACATTTTTTTTTATAATTAACACGTTTTTATTAACTCACTTTCTTGTCTGTCTGTTTGTCCGGATCAAATTTTGAAACTCAAATTTCACTCACTTCCCGACTAGCTATCAAGCTGAAACTTTCAGGATAGCCTAGAAACTGATGACAATGCAATCTTTTGTGAAAAAATAAATTTTAAGAATATTTTTTAAAAAGAATAAAATAATTATAGTAGATTAAAAAATTAATCTAAAAAACCACGTTTTCAAAAAGCAAAAAATAACCTTAAACGTGGTGCGCATGGAGATTGTTGAGAAGAAGTGAAATACAAATGAAATAGATGCACACCACGTTTAAGGTTATTTTTTGCTTTTTGAAAACGTGGTTTTTTAGATTAATTTTTAATCTACTATAATTATTTTTTAAATTTTGCTGAATGGGTGGTAAAATGGTGAGAGAAATGCCCAAGAGCTTTTCTTACATCAATTTCATGGTTGGAAATATCTGTTTCTTGTAATTTGGCCTGAAATGTATTTGCAATTTTATCACAAAATGTCCCTATGTTGATTCAGTGTCCTCATGTTGGGGCTTTTTTATTAATTTTTTCTGGGAAAATAAGTGTCCCTATGTCAAATTGTCTGCAGGTCAAAATGTCTGCATGTGGGGATCTCACTGTACTTGGATAGTGTGGGCCCTTTTGGATGAAACAAACCCCTTAAAAAAAGAGACCACCCACCAGCATCTACAATGTTACATACCATTAAATAAAAACTTACCCAACTCGAATACTTTCCCTTCAAACCTCCATCATTCGAATTTTATGGGGGCCTTTTGGTCATTATTTTATTGATGCAGCAAAGAGAAAAGCAATGAAAATGTAAGTTAATTCGTTTTGACAGGAAGTGAAAGGCCTATATTTTGCAAAATAAACCCTTGTCTCCAAGTTCAGCCCCCTTTTAAACCCATTTGATAAGCAATTTGAAGCGTTTGAATATCACCAATTATAATTTCCTGTGATTCCTATTTTGTTATTTTCCCCAACAAAAATGTCTGTTTCCCAAACTTAATTGTTTATTTGCTGGTCCTTTGAAAGGTTGACTTGAAGACGTGTGACTGCATGTCAGTCCGAGTTCATTATACAACCGAGTTCATTCTGCAGTACAGTACGTTATCCGGGGTGTCATTGTGCTTGTATTTTTATTTATGCTTTTGTTCATCAGCAGGACTTCAGAAGAAAACCCCGTGGTCTTTATCCGTCAGGTTCTCCCTTAGCCTGTCTTTACGCTCCGCCTTTTATATCAGGTCCGCCCTAAACCTGGTCCTGTGCGCGCCACAACCTCCGGCACTGCCACGCGTTTTCAAAGGAAAATCTTTGAGTTTCTTAGATATAAAGAGAGAGAAAATTTATATGTACGTATACTGTGAATAAAAGAATGCTTTCGTTTTCGTAGGCGCGAAACCAAGAGGAACGCGTGCGATCGAAGCTTCTGTGTGCTGATGTTGCTTTTATTCGGTATGCATGTATATAGAAGTCGTATACGGATCATTAGGCTGAAAGTGTTTCGCATGCTTGAGTTCGAAAATGACTTACGGTAGCTTCTGTTTTATTTTTGCCCAATGTTCTCCCTCTCTCTATCGAATGTAACGATCCTCTTTTTTTTGCCAGATTTTGCTTTTTATTTTTTTGGCTGGAATTTTCTTGCTACAGATGTCCTTGAAAGATGTATTCCTTTCAAACAGAAATGATTTTTAAGAACCCATCTTCAAAGATGCACATCTCATGTAACTTAATTTTTTTTTTTACTGTGGGGCTGAGTTTAAAGTTCATATTTCCACAGTCAGACCCCAAGATGAGGACATAATTGGTGCATAAATTGTGTCCCTAATTTGGAATGTTGGCATATTGAAATATTGAAGTTTCGTGATCACTAAAAGTGGTGTGCAAATTTTACTCAAAGATTCATTTCAATCAAAATTTCAGACTGAAAAACCTGGGTATGTGTCTGTCTTGCTCAAAGGCACATGGTACCCAAGTGAATGTTGTGCTTCTGAAGTCCTTAATATGCTCTGCTGTGATATTGTATACAGTGGTGTTTGAACCATGGACACCCCAATTATCTTTAAGTCTTCAAAATTTGGATATCTCCTGTACAAATTGAGTTCTTTACATCCAGAAAATTCAAAAAAAAAAGTTTTTATAAATTATTCCCAGTAATTCTAAATTCAAAATGGGCTATTTTTTGTTCTTCTTTTTCCGCTCGCCATCATCTTACCAAATTATAGGAAGAATTATGCTTTTCTCCTTTTTGTGCCACAAGATCAAATTATTTGTGTTCTTCTTTTGCACCTTCATTTTCTGCATCTTCAAGTTATGAAAAAAAATTATTTTATTCAATTTTTTTGGAATTTTTTTTTCGTAATTTTAGTTCAACAGCAAACCCAATTGCATTTATTCTCACTGAAGTCTACAGGGAAAACATGATCTGACATGCAGCCATTCTGACATGTAGGGACAAGGTCCAAGCCCCAATCATGTCCGCATCTCGGGGCCTTAAATAAAGGTGAAACACACCATCCTCTGTATTGCCACAAGAAAGACTTTGTCACATTTCCCCCATGGGACATGATTCGTCCAAGTTCACGGATATTATATTCCCGTTCCGCGATCTTAGGGCTTTAAAGTTCATTAATTGGCAACATCATTTTACGTCACGAGGATCTGATTCGCTGCTTTGAAAGATACATGTCTCTTCATAACACCCTTTTTCATTACGCAAGGCGTACACAGGAGTTATAAGATACACCGGCCTTTCAGTGACCAAAAAATAAAATAAAATAAATAAATACCCAGATCCACTCGTGTCAAAGCGTCAAAACGTTCCTGAGACAGCGAAAGTGACAGACAGACAGACACACTGGTTGTCCCGGATTGACCGCGAAACGGAAAAAGAAAGAAAGGGAACTTTTTCCTTCACTTATTGGTCACCGGGTATCCTTTGCTACGTTTGCAGTGTAATTTAGGAGTGTATACTGCTCAGTAGTGTGTATAATGAAAGAATCGGGGGTGAAAGGATGCTAATAACGTCGGGTTTCCTTTTCTTTCTTTTCAGTGTGTGTGTGTGTATCATTTTATGTGTCGACGACGTCGGGAGTGCTGGTGAAGGAAACCGGAAAGTCGTTGTCTTCACGCTGGGAGAGCCAAGTGGGACGCTTTCTGGAAAGCAACCGAGACTGCGCGTATGCAGCCAAGCAGGGAACACAAGAGTCATTTTCTTCGTCTTGGTATTTCTTTTTTTTTGCTGTTTTATTGCTGTGCTCTTTGATGGTATGAATACTGTACAATGTTGCGTGGTTGCCGGAAATATTTTTGGCGGAGGTTAGAAGACCACGCAANTCTATGTACAGAGAAGTATTGTGGGAAAAAGTAATGCGTTCCGCATGTGTCCTCAAATAAGATACACCGGCCTTTCAGTGACCAAAAAATAAAATAAAATAAATAAATACCCAGATCCACTCGTGTCAAAGCGTCAAAACGTTCCTGAGACAGCGAAAGTGACAGACAGACAGACACACTGGTTGTCCCGGATTGACCGCGAAACGGAAAAAGAAAGAAAGGGAACTTTTTCCTTCACTTATTGGTCACCGGGTATCCTTTGCTACGTTTGCAGTGTAATTTAGGAGTGTATACTGCTCAGTAGTGTGTATAATGAAAGAATCGGGGGTGAAAGGATGCTAATAACGTCGGGTTTCCTTTTCTTTCTTTTCAGTGTGTGTGTGTGTATCATTTTATGTGTCGACGACGTCGGGAGTGCTGGTGAAGGAAACCGGAAAGTCGTTGTCTTCACGCTGGGAGAGCCAAGTGGGACGCTTTCTGGAAAGCAACCGAGACTGCGCGTATGCAGCCAAGCAGGGAACACAAGAGTCATTTTCTTCGTCTTGGTATTTCTTTTTTTTTGCTGTTTTATTGCTGTGCTCTTTGATGGTATGAATACTGTACAATGTTGCGTGGTTGCCGGAAATATTTTTGGCGGAGGTTAGAAGACCACGCAACTTTTTTTTTGGCATGGAGGAAAGAGTGAGAAATTGTGTTTCTGGTAACCCTTTCTAAATGAGGCAAAGCTGGGATAGATTTTTATAATTTTGTGCCACGAAGTCAGGAATGAATCAGATTCAAATACAGTAGATGCTCACATTTTGCTAAATGCTTACTGACAGTATGTTGTCTTTTTTTTGCAGGAAGAAGAACGTGGACAGAAATCATTCGATTTTACTGTGGACCTTTGCGGTTGCTGACTCTATTTACTGACCGTGATGAAGTCAAAGAAGATACGACCATAAAACTGACACTCAACAATGGAGGCGGAATTACGGTAGCTTAAGGCCGTGACTGCGATACTTTACTATTCGGTCAGTATAAACAGACAAGACAAAGTTTCTTTAAATTATGACTGAATTTAATTTATATGTGTGTGTTTCTCGATCGACGAATGATGGGAATACGATATATTATTCTTCCGCCATCCGAAAAGAACTGGATTTTGCGTAATTTTCCGGAAATAGAATGAGACATTCGAGATGCGGACATAATTGGTGTTGGGACCTTGCTGAAATGTCCGAATGTTGGATTTTGTTTTCCTATATGGACTTCCATGTTGACTCATTTAATATGTTCTCCAGTTAATCAAAATTAGAAACAAATTAAATGCTGTAAAATATGTTTCTCAACTGAAAGATGCAGAATAGAACTGTGCAGAAGGAAAACCACACAGAATCTGATCTTCTGGCATGAAAAGGACCCCAAAAAGCCAAAATGTACAAGTCTTGCTAAATTGTGCACATGTGATGGAGAATTCTCAAAATATAAAAGCACAAAATTAACTTTTTTGATTCCAAGTTTGAATTGATTGCTAATAAAAATCATTGTGGACTTCTATATAAATAGCTCTATTTGTTCAAGAGATATTGAAATTTTTAAAAGTAAAAATGTTAAATTTTCCCATATATGTTGGAAAAGTGTCTGTATGTTGAGATTTTGTCTCTATGTTGGGTCTGATTTTTCAACATTTCAATTGTCCCCAAGTCAAATTTTCTATGTGAAAGTGTCCATATTTTGGGGTCTGACTGTATTTATAAAAAAACGGAATGCCTTTCTATGGAGTTTGTTCCTTTTTCTGTATATTTTTCCAGCGAAGTACAACAAATTGTCAGTATTATAAGCTGTGCTTTTGTGATTTAGAAGGTGGTGTAATCTCCCCATGAAAGTGATCACATTTCAGAAGATAAGTCAAATTGTAGATGAAATCCTAAACCAAGGTTTTCCGAGATTCCCACACAGATACAAATGAAAGACTAAATTCGTCGGGGAATTCGGGTTCTCCAAAAGCTAGCGTATCGAATTTAATGTATCCGTTGAAATATTCGCGACAACACATCCAACAGTAAAATGATATTCATCTTGATGATGATTCCTCCTGAAAGATAGATTTGAATGCGATCTTATTTGTCCCACTTTCTCCTAAATTCTTGTGTGGCTTTTCCTTCTACCCGGATGTTAATCAACTTCTCTAGAGTATCATAAGAACGGATGATGTCCTGATTCGTCTCAGTCTCCGTCTATCACAGTTATGAGGGAAATTTCTTTGAAATAATTGACGCAATCTGAAAAGGAATCTTTTTATGAGTCGCGCATGGCTTGGATCCTGATACTTAAATGGAACTCCAAGGATATATTTTCTCTGCAATGGATTTGGTTGCTCATGAACTATTTTCTTGGCTAATTTCTGCAGCACATACTCCATATATTATTGGGAAACGGGAGGATGAGGAAAAATTCCTGACATCAATTATATTTGAAGTACAGAATTAGATTCAATACACAATTAGATTCAATACACATTCAATACACCTTCTTGTGATTTTCAAATTCATGATCGGATTCAAAAAATTGAAAAAAGCTCTCTTTTTTATTGCTGTATGATGGACGAAAGAGTAGCATTTGGATCACCGTGTATATATCACTCGCAGAGCCGGTCTCGTTTTCACAGTTCGAAGTTCTTTTCTTCATCGAAAAAACTTTCGTTCGCTGTTCGAAAGGGAAGTTATGCGGAACACGAGCGATTAATCTTCGTTATTCTATCTTCCCCCACCTAATAGGTGCCATTTATTCAGACGAAAATAGGCATTGGAACAAAAACAAAAAGGAGTAGTAGGAATAAAAAACAGTGACTGGAGCAAAAGACTAGTCTTAACCATGACAAGAAGTCGATGACCTCGTTTGGCGAGAATCTTGAACCGTGGAGAGTGATTGATGCATTTTCATGCCGAATGAATATGTGCGAAACTAGATGTGCATTGACGATTTTTGGCGGTGAGCGTGTAGGTGGAAATTCATGCGGTTTACTGTTGACTGATTCTTTTGGCTTCTCTTGAGGGCTTCGTTTGTGAAAATGGTTATCGTTTTTGAGTTTAGTACATTTTTCTCGGCCTGTTTCGAAAAAAAAATGATGTGTGATACGTGACATGTTTGCTCCAGAAACGATGAGCAGATGAGGAAAGTTTGACTGTTGATTTGCGCTGGAAGGATGTTTGAAGAGCAAGCAAAAGGAAGGAAAGTTTTCTTAATTTGTTACATAGTACAGTGTGGCCCAAAAAATAAGGATGATTTGACTTGTGGACCCTTAACTCAGAAAAATCTTCCTCAATGCAGTTGCAATTCTGTATAAGTCAACTGGGAAAAAATTTGACTTGTTTCAACTTACGGAGGTTCTGATTTTTGGAGGTTTCCAGATAAGGAAACAATAGGGAAACAACACTCCTATTCACTTTTTTCAAACCCTTTAACATTTACTCCTATAAGACCCGGATTTGAACGAGGGATTACTCAAGTGTGGAACGACTTGAACCTCCGTCCCCAAATAAACATAATGTCTTTCACTTCTTTTCAACATGCATCAACTTATTTGTTTTAATTATTTTCTCTTTCATATTTCAAGGAACTGATAACGAGCTGAAGGTCTCAGAAAATAAGACTTACAGAAGTTTTAGAGATAAAGACTTGGAGTTAGGGAGGTTTTTAATGCATTGTTACTAAGGGAATTCAGACCGGGACTTGAAAAAAATCCAACTTAGGGAGGAATTTGACTTAGGAAGGTTCACCTGTATCTGGAAAACTGCCTCAAGATATTTTATGAACATTTCATCAACATTTCTAGACAAATGGCAGATTCTATTTTTCAAAAATTTGATGCAGGTTTCAAAAATTGAGCTTTTTATGTTCACAAAAACAAGGAATACATTATGCAGGTGGACTTTCTCTACAATGATCTTCTGTACAATGATTGTATCTGTGCAACAAAATTCTATTTGGCCTATTTTTATGATCAAATTTTGTCTGGTCACTTAAATATTGTTTTAGAGAGAGTCCACTAAAGATTTGCTATACAGGTGGTACCTTGCAATTTGACCCTAATCCATTGCCAGACTAGGAGTTGAAATGTAAAGGGGTTGGAATTGGAATGGAAGACACTTTGTAAAATTCAAAAAGTGACTGAAGCAGGTCAAATGGGGGGGGGGGGGGCAGAGGTCAAATTGCAAGTCAAGCTCCCCGCAAATTTGTCTGTTAAATTGCAGGATGGTCAAATTGTGAGGTACCACCCATAATTCATGTTCCAAAAGAGCCAATTTTGTGGTTCTTTTTTCAGAGTTTTTTGGGTCTTTTTCATGGCATAAGATCAGATTCTGTGTGGTTTTTTGTGCACAGCTCTTTTCTGTACCCTGAAGTTGAGAAAAAATGTTATTGTATCAATGTTTTTGGGGACTTTTTCCGAATTTTTGATCAAAGTGCAGGATATTCTTAAATGTATTCCCATTGAAGTCTTAGGGAACTACAGTATGTAATTTTAAAAATGTAGATGTTTAGACATATGGACAAGGTCCAAGCACCAATTATTTGTCCGCATCTCGGGGCCCCACTGTAGATGTACTTTCTATTGTAATTGGCAAAAAACGTTCTCACTCTAAGCCTACAAGATAAATGCCTAAAAAATGTTTGCCAAAGTATAGAAAACGTCTGCGCAATTCGCTTTGTCCAGTCCTGCTGCATGCATTTTTTTTCTTTCAATACATAGATGTCGCTACTGTATAGTTTTAACGTGTTAAGTCGCATGTCGTCATATACGAAGTTGAAGTACTATAAAACGCTCGTTCGCATAAAGCTAATGCAAGAAGAAAGATAAACGTTCGTAATAAAAGAACTCAGTACATAAACTTAAAGGGGAAGAGTGTGGATGAGTTTTCCTTCATTGCACAAGCATATGATGAATTTTCTTCTAGGAAGCGGGCCAAAAGAGAAACATGAAGTTGAGTTCGACGAAATTATCGGCCTCCCACGCGATATCAAATCAGCCAAATCGCCGATCGACTCACGAACTTGTTTCACGCCAACGTGCTTCATTTCCGTCTGCAGTCATCGAAAGAAATGAGGTAAGTGTTGATCCAGGAGAACCTGTTTATTTTGCAAAACGTGTTTTAAAATGTTGCGAAAACTGGTTTGAATAAGTTGCAGGATCCCGCGTTCGCTCGGCTACGTGCTCAAAATCGCACTCGTCATGTGTTTCTACACGTTTGCCCTGTGGGTATTGTTCAGGGTATTGGCGAGTGTCACGAAACCGAAAAAGAACCGTGTTTTGGTGGATGGCGAGGAAGATTATCTTTTCGATGAGTCTGATGCTGAGGATGAGACGCTTTTGGAGCACGTGGCCGGAAATTACGTGGATTTACTGAGGATTTCGAAAATCCTCGATCGGAGGAATTCCACTGAAGATTATTCCCTGCGCATGCCGAGTGATGTGGATCTTTCTGAACACAAGCAAAGTTCAGCTCTTCTCCAGTTGCTGAATGCGAAGGTGTTGTTTTATTGATTTCTCCTCTTGTTGAAAATGTCGAACTTG